ATGGAATGGACACCTTATGAAGGCCAGGCTCAGAGAGATAAGTGTGTTCTTAGCCCCCAACAGGAGCGTGGGAAGTTCAAGAAGATGAGGCTGGCACCTCCCTAAGGAATTCACGGTGTTGTGGCTGGCTGGCTTGGGAACTTGGGTTCAGTCTGGTGAACCCACGGCCACAACACCGTGAATTCCTTAGGGAGGTGCCAGCCTCATCTTCTTGAACTTCCCACGCTCCTGTTGGGGGCTAAGAACACACTTATCTCTCTGAGCCTGGCCTTCATAAGGTGTCCATTCCATCACAGAGCAGCAGGAAATAATGCCACTGATTTCAGCCACCATGGTTGGAGTGTGCTGTAGGGGCTGTAAAGAAATGATTGGCGGCTCCCTCTGGCTCAATTTCAAGTTGCCTGCACTTGGTTTACTCCCCAGTGTCGTCTTATTATGCAGCGTTCTTTATTCTTTTTCTCTGCAGTCCTTCCCAATCTTTTAAGATTCCAGTTATGTTGAAGGTGATTCTCTTGTTATTACTGTTTTTTTAAGATCTGTAGATTGCATTCTGATTTGTCTGTGTTTTGAGTTTACTCTTTACGTAACACCTAAAGAACCTGCTTTGCAGAGCGTTGAAAAATAAATAAAATCCTAGCAAAACACATCATTCGTAAGACCAGTTCGAGGGAGATTTCCCCCTCCCCAGAATAGAATATAAAGACAGAAATAATATATTGATCACACTAGTCTTAAGCACATGGTTGGATTTAAACTCTAAATTAAGGAAAAGCATATGTGCTGCTGGGCTGAGTAAGTGAGGAGGAAATAAAGAGGAGGTGCCAACATGGAAGTAGCAATCTGGGGCGTCGGTGGCGTGGGAGGTGTTTCCTAATGGGGAAGAACCAGTTAAAAGGGTAAACAGGCAGGGGCCACGCAGGATTCCAAGAAATGCCTTTGGATGGTTGATGTGACAGACCGCATCACCACAGTCCAATCTGCGAGAGCCGCACCTGCTTCTGGGACTAACTGGTCAAACTGAGCAGCTGCAAAGGATCCTGCAGTGGATTATGGACTGCCAGTGTCCTGAGATGGGTTTCTCCTGGCTGTTCCCTTCCTGCCAGCATCTTGGAAATCAAGGCTTTTCTAGCTTCTGCGGATTTGCTGCCTCCATGAAAGAATGGGCTTCTGGATCTGATTCTGCTCCTCTTCCCTCCCTGTCCATCCTCCCCATTTCGTTGCAAGCCCTCCTTTCAAATAGCCAGCTCCTCTTGGGGTGCCTTGGCCGAAAGATGGGATATAGGTCAAATTAGCCACCTTGGAAAGGTTGGGTGAAGAGAGGGGTCACTTGAGCCCGGGGTCTGACGGCAGGGGAGGGCTAGGGCCAACGTCCCTTCTTGGGAACCTTGAGCATCTCCTTGTACTTCTGTCTGATTCTCCAGACTCCATTGTGACCACCTAGCT